CCCTGCTGCTCCTTGATGCATGCAAGGGTGAGAGCTCTTGCTGCTGCTGCTGCTGCTGCTGCTGCTGCTGTTGCTGCTGCTGCTGTTACGCCTGCTCACGTTGCTGGTGTATGCATTCCTGGGGGCATTTTGGGGTCCCTTTGGCGCCGTTTTGAGGTGTCAGTCTCCTCGCTGCTGCTGCTGCTGCTGCTGCTTGCATGCATTGCTTGTTATGGATTTGCTTGCTGCGTTGCGGCTGCTGCTGCTGCTGCTGCTGTTTGCTGCTGCAGGAGAGCTGGGTGTGTGGATAGTGTCTACGTTGGTCTGCTGCATGGGGGGCCTGCCTCTGTGTCTGGCTGGGCTGAGCAACGGGCGAGTGGTGTTGTTTCGTCTCGGCTTTGCTGCTGCTGCTGCTGCTGCTGCTGCAGCAGCAGCAGCAGCAGGAGACGCAGGCGATGCAGCAGCAGGAGGCAGCAGCAGCGGGGATACTGCGCTGCTGAGGGGCCTCCAGCTCAGCTCGGGGGCCCCCACCCCGCTGCAGCTGTCTCTGCTGTCTGGGCGTGTTGTCTCCGTGGGGGGGGGCCCCGTGCGTCTGTGTGCTTTGCCGCTGCTGCCGGCGTTCAGCAGCAAGCGGCGGCGACGCAGCAGCAGAGGAGACAGCAGCAGCAGCAGCAGCAGCAGCAGCAGGGGAGACAGAAGCAGCAGAGGAGACAGATGCAGCGCAGCACGCGGGGCCGCAGCAACACCCCACACACCGCAGACAGACACCGATCAAAGACACGCCGTTGCATGCGTTGTCTGCTGCTGCGCCAACCCCACCATCATACATGTCTCAGCAGCAGGTAACACACACAGCAGCAGCAGCAGCAGCAGCAGCAGCAACAGCAGCAGCAGCAGGAATGTCTCCTCGTGCCTTCACCTTGGCACCGCCTCAAGTGTCTCCCTTTCTTGCCTATCATCTCCTTTCATATAACCTTGTCTCCTTCTGTCTCTTTTTGTCTCCTTTTGTCTCTTTTTGTCTCCTTTTGTCTCCTTTTTTCTGTCTCCTTTTGTCTCCTTTTGTCTCCTTTTGTCTCCTTTTGTTTCCTTTTTTCTGTCTCCTCCTGTCTCCTTCTGTCTCCTCTTCTGTCTCCTCTTCTGTCTCCTTCTGTCTCCTCTTCTGTCTCCATCTGTCTCCATCTGTCTCCTTCTGTCTCCATCTGTCTCCTTTTTTGTTTCCCCAGGCAGCCTGACATACAACCACGTGCCCAGTGTCTCTCTGCAGCACGTTGCTGACTTCAGCTGCAGCGCCACAGACCCCCGTCTGGGTCTCTTGTGGGTCGAGGGCCCGTCTCCACCACCAGCAGCAGCAGCAGCAGCAGCACCAGCAGCAGCAGCAGCAGCAGCAGCAGCAGCAGATCCCTCCTCTCTCCCCACCCCCACCGCCCCCACCACCACCGCTATCACCACAACCACCACCGCCAACAGCAGCAGCAGCAGCAGCAGCAGCAGCAGCAGCAGCAGCAGCAGCAGTATGTGGAGACGTGAGCTGAAGCAGCCACAAGCTATACTGCGTGTGGGTGTAAGAGAAGAAGCGCAGCGGCTGCATCTGCAGCTGCTGCCTGTCGGCCGCACCGTCGATGCTATTTGTCCCCTTGAGGCTGTCTCCGTTCTCGCGCTCGCTTGTCCTGCTGAGGTTGTTGTAAGCACTGCTGCTGCTGCTGCTGCTGCTGCTGCTGCTGCTGCTGCTGTTGGTGGTGGTGGTGGTGGTGGTGGTGGTGGTTATGGTGTTGCTGTCGTTGGTGCTGCTGCAGTTGCTGCTGTAGTCGCTGCTGCAGCTGCTGCTGTTGCTGGACTTGCTGCTACAGCTGCTGCTGTCTCCCCTCAGTCTCCTTTCTGTCTCCTCTCTATCACCCTTCTGTCTCCTTTTTGTCTCCTTTCTGTCTCCTTACTGTCTCCTTACTGTCTCCTTTCTGTCTCCTTACTGTCTCCTTACTGTCTCCTTTTTGTCTCCTTTCTGCCTCCTTTCTGTCTCCTTTTTGTCTCCTTTCTGTCTCCTTTCTGTCTCCTTTCTGTCTCCTTCTGTCTCCTTTCTCTCTCTCTCTCTTATGTTTTCTTTCTGTCTCCTTTCTGTCTCCTTTCTGTCTCCTTTCTGTCTCCTTCTAGGCTGGCCGCGAGGAGCCGAGTTGTGTTTTGTTTATAAACCCCACAACAAAACGCGTAGAGGGCAAGTTTGTGCTGCCGCACCCCACGCACGTTC